TTATTCAGCATATCCGCTTCCACTATGAACTCAGTCCAAACTTATAGTAACTCCTCGCTTTAAGTCTGATATCGTGAGTGGTCCACGAAAGAAGGAAAATCCATGAGAAACGGCCCGGAACCCGAGAAATGGGGCCCTTCCGTTGGATTTGCGCATTGAGGGGACTCTCACCGCTGGGCCCTATTCATCGCCGCATCAGCCGGAGGGGTCAGCGCGCCGAGTCGGTGGGTTGACCGCTCCGACCGCAGAATGAGCCCTACTAGGTCACCAAGGTCAAATTTTTCGGTGCCAGTTGCGCGACAGTCCGCACCCTCAGAAGCCCGGCGTCTCATAACTAGGTGAATAACTCCTTCATCGACCTCCATTCTGATCGCGAATTCCTCCTTTGAGTTGAATTCTGCACAGAATTCTAGAGAAATTCTCTCTAGAAAGGAACTTACAAGGAAAGAGCCCAGGTCGCTATGCCATTCAATGAAAGGTGCGCACGCCTAAATGCGCCTTCGAACGCTAATCTCAAACCTACCTTCCATATCTGCTAAACCACTTTCTGAACGGAGTTGTGAAACAGAACTGGATGGAGACAGGTAAAGCAACGGGTCCCGACGACTTGGCGGCCGATCTGTGGAAGTCACAGTGCTGGAATCCTGCAGAGTGGTTGACGAAGTTCTTCAACCAAGTCGTTGCAGAAAAGAAAGTGCCTGAGAGTTGGCAACAGAGCACGACGATTCCCGATTTGGAAGAAAAAGGGGAGTCCTGCAGATTGCACGAGCTACCGACCAATTCGTCTGCTCTCCCACAGCATGAAGGTATTCGAACGAATTGTAGATCGCCGTATTCGTGACATAGTCCAGCTTACCGTGAACCAATGCGGCTTCGTGACTGGCTGCGGCACCATTGATGCCATACACGCCGCTCGTTTCTGCTAGAAAAACACCGTGAAAAACAAAAGCCGGTGCATTTTGCCTTTCTAGACTTGGAAAAGGCTTTTGATCGCGTTCCACGTGAAGTAATATGGTACGCCTTACGACAACATGGCGTCCCCGAAGAGCTTATTGAGTGGGTTCGCATGCTTACTCAAGCCCAAAGAGCCGAGTGCAAACGTCAGCTGGCGTTTCGACGGAATTCCCCATCTCTGTTGGGGTACATCAGGGCTCTGCGCTTTCCCCACTTCTTTTCGTTGTCGTCATGGATGCCATCTCACGAGATCTTCAGAAACCAGCTCCATGGACGCTTCTCTACGCTGATGACGTGTGCTCGCTAAGCTTGTCCCTGTCGCCTAGCGATGTTCAGACTCAGGGTAGACGTCAAAAAAACAGACTATATGACAACCGACGCGAGTGAGTGCGCTTTCATCAAAATAAATGGCACAGAGCTGACACGTACAACGACGTTCAAGTATCAGCAATTGCGTCCGATGGCAGTATGAGTACTGAGGTGAACTCGCGTGTGAGTGCGGCTTGGTCCAAGTGGCGTTCTATGACGGGAGTTCTCTGTGACAAGAAAATCCCAGAACGCCTAAAATCGAAGATCTATAGGACAGTCATAAGACCAGTGGCATTGTACGGCGCTGAGTGCTGGCCAGCGACCAGGGAACTGAAGCTCGCCTCGGTGTAATGGAGACGAAGATGCTGCGCTGGACGGCTGGTGTCACGCGATTAGATCGCATTCGGAACGATGTCATACGGGAACGCTTTGGTGTAGCTCCCATTGCTGATAAAATGCGCGAAGCCGGCTTCGATGGTATGGCCACGTTCTTCGCGGAAATGATGACAGTGTTCGTAAGATCGGCCTCAACATAGACGTGCCCGGAAAGCGGCCTAAGGGGCGCCCGAAGCAGCGCTGGCTCGATACGTTGCACGTAGACTTGAAGTTGGTCGGCATCCATTCCGAACAAGCATTCCATCAGTAAATGGCGTCAGAATACCGGAAAAGCGGTTCACTAGTTCTCAGATTTGGCTGTGAATGTCTTCAGGGTCTAGATTTGATGCATCCATTATTTAACCATCGAGTTCTGGCAGGAACCGAATTTGAAAACGGAGCGCTGCCAGTTTGGAACTTTATACATGACGTTCAGACGTCATGACAGAGTGGGAGGTTCATGTTGATTGGCTGTTGATTTCTCTATCTCTTCGTGGACTGGACCTATCATTTTGCATGCTTGAAATTTGAAATCTTCGCAATTGAGAAGCGAAACAAAACTTTGACAAAGCAGACAGTTTCTTTTGAATGTTCATCCCATGATGAAGAAACATGGGACTTCTGTTGAAAATTTTACATTCGAAAAAAACGTCATTGCTTATGGAACGACCTAATATATCATTATAATCCGAGCCATTTTCTGTAATTAGCTGCTTCAATCGGGAATCACCATCCAAGCTAGCTCAGATTTTGTGTCATGGCATCATGACTCACCACTTTCGCGTTCTACTCCACTGATCCACTCCAGCTTTTGAAGTGCTGTTTCCTCTTTTTCGTATTTTTCCTGAAAAATACTGTGACAGGGTCATGCAGCA